ATTAATAAAAATGCAGATTAATATCATATCTTTTGCATAATGAATTAACTGGCCTAATAAGGTTTCAACTTTGAATACTACAGAGGCATTCTCTTCATGTGAGTGACATCTAGATCTCACTCTGTGCTTAACTCTTTCCTTCATTTTTTCACTAAGCTTTATGCTAAGCATTAAAAGTTAAAAGGTGACTAGGGGGCTGGGGTTATAGCTCAGTTGTGGAGTGCTTGCCTAGCATGTATGAGGCACTAGATTTGATCCTCAGCAACACATAAAAAAAGGTATTTTGTCCATCTATAACTAAAAAATTAAAAAGTGACTAAGATATGGCACTTGCCTTCAAGAGTTCACAGTTCAGTAGGCAGGACAGACACAAAATCAGCTAATGGTTCTAGAGCAGTACAAGAACAGAGAGGGCCCCAAAGGCTATGGGAACACAGAGGCTGAGCTACAAACTCTAACTGGAAGAATTAGGGAAGACATCACTGAAGAGGTGACATTTGATTTAGCTCTTAAGGATACACCTTAGTTAGGCAAAAAAAAGAAAAGAGGGAAATGAGGCAATCTGGGTCAAAGCAACCATATCTATGAGGGCCTGAGTCATAAAAAAAGCTTATATATCAAAAGATGAGACATTCAGTGGGACAAGAAAACATGATAGGTACTAGAAGAATGAGGTGGGTCAGCTCAGAAAGGCCTTGGAGTTTGGATTTTAACTTGTAAGCAATGAGATGCCAAAATTGTATTTTAAGTATTGAGAACATGGCTGGGAGTGTAGCTCACTGATGGAGCATGCATTTGTCATGAGTAAAGTTCTGGGTTCAATCCTCAGCACACAAAAAAAGTAGAAGACTGATAATCCCAGAAAGGTTTTGTTTTGCTTTGTTTTTTTGATACCAAGGATTGAACTCAGGGGGGCTTAACCACTTAGCCACATCCCCAGCCATTTTTAAATATTTTATTTAGAGACAGGGTCTTGCTGAGTTGCTTAGGGCCTCACTAGGTTGCTGAGACTGGCTTTGAACTCGTGACCCTCCTGCCTTAGCCTCCTGAGTCGCTGGGATCACAGTCGAGTTTCTGGGATCACAGACATGCCCCAATGTACCCAGTGCACATTGTTTTTAGGTTTTTAGAAGTAACAGGCTGTAGCCTCAGGGAAGACAAGATGAAGTGAAGGAGACTGGGATAATTTCTTCTTCCCTCTGTATCTGTTTTTTGAACTCAGGACAGCAAAGCACACAACAGTTTTTATATGGCATTGAATTTTTTTCTCCAAAGCCAGACCAGGAAAGACCCTTACCTGCAAAAGCAGATTACAATGAGTCTCACTTGATTTCCCAAAGCACCCTTCCGTTCTAGGCTTCTTTACTTAGAGCCAGCATGTAACTTCATTAAGCCCACAAGAGACCTGGCTCCTGAGTCACAGACCTGGGTTGAATTCCAGCTCTGCTGGAGCAAAAGCTATTTAACATCTCTAAGCCTCAAGTTCATCTGTAAAATGGGAATAATAATAACAGAACAACCCAAGGAAGTTCTGTGATGGTTAAATGAAACAATGCATGCATATTACTTAGTACAATGCCTGGTACATAGTGTACTAGATTAACGGTGTCCCCCAAAATTCACATTCACCCAGAATCTGTGAATGTGACCTTATTAGAAATAGGCTCTTTAAAAAAAAAAAAAAAAAAAAAAAAAAA